ATCGGCGATTTGACTTTTTCTCCTACACTGTTTGGTACACTTTGTCTCAAAGTTTAACTTAAGTTTAATGTTGTACAACCGCAAAATGCTATTTGTACGATTTTTTCAGGACGGGTATCACGTGATTCATAACTGCCCTAGATCTGAAACCAAAATAATTAATAGGAAGCCTCTAGTCCTCAATAACTGACCATCAAACATAATTCGGACATGTTGCATTTTCAGTACACTTTTTCCTGAAATCCGCATTAAATATATAAAAAAAAAAGTAAATTTGGCGGTGAAAGCCCATTATGTTATGCCACTGTCACGTGACAGACAAATCCCAAACACCTGAAACCAAAATAAAGTGTAGGCGGGACACCACTCTTTAAGATGACATCGGCGATTTGACTTTTTCTTCTTCACTGTTTGGTACACTTTGTCTCGAAGTTTAACTTAAGTTTAAATTAATGTTGTACAACGTTACCGCAAAATGCTATTAAAGTACGATTTTCCTCAAGACGAGTTTCACGTGATTCCTAGCTGCCCTAGATCTGAAACCAAAATAAGTTATAGGAAGCCTCTAGTCCTCAATAACTGACCATCAAACATAATTCGGACATGCTGCATTTTCGGTACACTTTTTCCTGAAATCCGCATTAAATATATAAAAAAAGTAAATTTGGCGGTGAAAGCCCATTATGTTATGCCACTGTCACGTGACAGACACATCCCATACACCTGAAACCAAAATAAAGTGTAGGCAGGACACCACTCTTTAAGATGACATCGGCGATTTGACTTTTTCTTCTTCACTGTTTGGTACACTTTGTCTCGAACTTTAACTTAAGTTTAATGTTGTACAACCGCAACATGCTATTAAAGTACGATTTTCCTCAGGACGAGTATCACGTGATTCATAGCCGCCCTAGATCTGAAACCAAAATAATTTATAGGAAGCCTCTAGTCCTCAATAACTGACCATCAAGCATAATTCGGACATGTTGCATTTTCGGTACACTTTTTCCTGAAATCCGCATTAAATATTATAAAAAAGTAAATTTGGCGGTGAAAGCCCATTATGTTATGCCACTGTCACGTGACAGACACATCCCATACACCTGAAACCAAAATAAAGTGTAGGCGGGAGACCACCCTTTAAGATGACATCGGCGATTGACTTTTTCTTCTTCACTGTTTGGTACACTTTGTCTCGAACTTTAACTTTAAAAAGTTTTAATAATGTTGTTGTACAACCGCAAAATGCTATTTTGGTACGATTTTCCTCAGGACGAGTATCACGTGCCCTAGATCTGAAACCAAAATAATTTATAGGAAGCCTCTAGTCCTCAATAACTGACCATCAAACATAATTCGGACATGTTGCATTTTCGGTACACTTTTTCCTGAAATATGCATTAAATATATAAAATAATAAATGAGTAAATTTGGCGGTGAAAGCCCATTTTGTATTGCCATTGTCACGTGACAGATAGACACCCCATACACCTGAAACCAAAATAGAGTGTAGGCGGGACACCACTCTTTAAGATGACACCGGCGATTTGACTTTTTCTCCTACACTGTTTAGTACACTTTGTCTCGAAGTTTAACTTAAGTTTTAATAATGTACAATTACCGCAAAATGCTATTTTAGTACGATTTTTCTCAGGCCGAGTATCACGTGACTCATAGCTGCCCTAGATCTGAAACCAAAATAAATTATAGGAAGCCTCTAGTCCTCAATAACTGACCATCAAACATAATTCGGACATGCTGCATTTTCGGTACACTTTTTCCTGAAATATGCATTAAATATATAAAATATAGTAAATTTGGCGGTGAAAGCCCATTTTGTATTGCCATTGTCACGTGACAGATACACCCCACACACCTGAAACCAAAATAGTGTAGGCGGGACACCACTCTTTAAGATGTCATCGGCGATTTGACTTTTTCTCCTACACTGTTTGGTACACTTTGTCTCAAAGTTTAACTTAAGTTTAATGTTGTACAACCGCAAAATGCTATTTGTACGATTTTTTCAGGACGGGTATCACGTGATTCATAACTGCCCTAGATCTGAAACCAAAATAATTAATAGGAAGCCTCTAGTCCTCAATAACTGACCATCAAACATAATTCGGACATGTTGCATTTTCAGTACACTTTTTCCTGAAATCCGCATTAAATATATAAAAAAAAAAGTAAATTTGGCGGTGAAAGCCCATTATGTTATGCCACTGTCACGTGACAGACAAATCCCAAACACCTGAAACCAAAATAAAGTGTAGGCGGGACACCACTCTTTAAGATGACATCGGCGATTTGACTTTTTCTTCTTCACTGTTTGGTACACTTTGTCTCGAAGTTTAACTTAAGTTTAAATTAATGTTGTACAACGTTACCGCAAAATGCTATTAAAGTACGATTTTCCTCAAGACGAGTTTCACGTGATTCCTAGCTGCCCTAGATCTGAAACCAAAATAAGTTATAGGAAGCCTCTAGTCCTCAATAACTGACCATCAAACATAATTCGGACATGCTGCATTTTCGGTACACTTTTTCCTGAAATCCGCATTAAATATATAAAAAAAGTAAATTTGGCGGTGAAAGCCCATTATGTTATGCCACTGTCACGTGACAGACACATCCCATACACCTGAAACCAAAATAAAGTGTAGGCAGGACACCACTCTTTAAGATGACATCGGCGATTTGACTTTTTCTTCTTCACTGTTTGGTACACTTTGTCTCGAACTTTAACTTAAGTTTAATGTTGTACAACCGCAACATGCTATTAAAGTACGATTTTCCTCAGGACGAGTATCACGTGATTCATAGCCGCCCTAGATCTGAAACCAAAATAATTTATAGGAAGCCTCTAGTCCTCAATAACTGACCATCAAGCATAATTCGGACATGTTGCATTTTCGGTACACTTTTTCCTGAAATCCGCATTAAATATTATAAAAAAAGTAAATTTGGCGGTAAAAGCCCATTATGTTATGCCACTGTCACGTGACAGACACATCCCATACACCTGAAACCAAAATAAAGTGTAGGTGGGAGACCACCCTTTAAGATGACACCGGCGATTTGACTTTTACTTCTTCACTGTTTGGTACACTTTGTCTCGAACTTTAACTTAAAGTTTAATGTTGTTGTACAACCGCAAAATGCTATTTGTACGATTTTCCTCAGGACGAGTATCACGTGATTCATAGCTGCCCTAGATCTGAAACCAAAATAATTTATAGGAAGCCTCTAGTCCTCAATAACTGACCATCAAACATAATTCGGACATGCTGCATTTTCGGTACACTTTTTCCTGAAATATGCATTAAATATATAAAATATAGTAAATTTGGCGGTGAAAGCCCATTTTGTATTGCCATTGTCACGTGACAGATACACCCCACACACCTGAAACCAAAATAGTGTAGGCGGGACACCACTCTTTAAGATGTCATCGGCGATTTGACTTTTTCTCCTACACTGTTTGGTACACTTTGTCTCAAAGTTTAACTTAAGTTTAATGTTGTACAACCGCAAAATGCTATTTGTACGATTTTTTCAGGACGGGTATCACGTGATTCATAACTGCCCTAGATCTGAAACCAAAATAATTTATAGGAAGCCTCTAGTCCTCAATAACTGACCATCAAACATAATTCGGACATGTTGCATTTTCAGTACACTTTTTCCTGAAATCCGCATTAAATATATAAAAAAAAAGTAAATTTGGCGGTGAAAGCCCATTATGTTATGCCACTGTCACGTGACAGACAAATCCCAAACACCTGAAACCAAAATAAGTGTAGGCGGGACACCACTCTTTAAGATGACATCGGCGATTTGACTTTTTCTTCTTCACTGTTTGGTACACTTTGTCTCGAAGTTTAACTTAAGTTTAAATTAATGTTGTACAACGTTACCGCAAAATGCTATTAAAGTACGATTTTCCTCAAGACGAGTTTCACGTGATTCCTAGCTGCCCTAGATCTGAAACCAAAATAAGTTATAGGAAGCCTCTAGTCCTCAATAACTGACCATCAAACATAATTCGGACATGCTGCATTTTCGGTACACTTTTTCCTGAAATCCGCATTAAATATATAAAAAAAGTAAATTTGGCGGTGAAAGCCCATTATGTTATGCCACTGTCACGTGACAGACACATCCCATACACCTGAAACCAAAATAAAGTGTAGGCAGGACACCACTCTTTAAGATGACATCGGCGATTTGACTTTTTCTCCTTCACTGTTTGGTACACTTTGTCTCGAACTTTAACTTAAGTTTAATGTTGTACAACCGCAAAATGCTATTAAAGTACGATTTTCCTCAGGACGAGTATCACGTGATTCATAGCCGCCCTAGATCTGAAACCAAAATAATTTATAGGAAGCCTCTAGTCCTCAATAACTGACCATCAAACATAATTCGGACATGTTGCATTTTCAGTACACTTTTTCCTGAAATCCGCATTAAATATATATAAAAAAAGGAGTAAATTTGGCGGTGAAAGCCCATAATGTTATGCCACTGTCACGTGACAGACACATCCCAAACACCTGAAACCAAAATAAAGTGTAGGCGGGACACCACTCTTTAAAATGACATCGGCGATTTGACTTTTTCTTCTTCACTGTTTGGTACACTTTGTCTCGAAGTTTAACTTAAGTTTAAATTAATGTTGTACAACCGCAAAATGATATTAAAGTACGATTTTCCTCAAGACGAGTATCACGTGATTCATAGCTGCCCTAGATCTGAAACCAAAATAATTTATAGGAAGCCTCTAGTCCTCAATAACTGACCATCAAACATAAAACTGACGTCCTTCATTTTCGGTACACTCCTCGATGAAATCCGCATTAAATATATAAAAAATTATCACATCAATAATGTTGTTTACTGGCCTCCGTACTTTATGAATACGCGGCTGAATACACGGCTGAATACGCGGCTGTGGTATCTGGCCGAATACGCGGCCAGGTTCACTCAGGTCTATTGATTTTCATCCACTTTCTACAAGTCTAGTTCCTGACCACGAACTCGCTTATAAATGCATGGTGCCTTCGACACCAGACCAAATCTTCCTTTTTTTCCCGTAGACCGTCAAAATGAAGTAAGTACCTTCACGTATATCCATTGAAATCCTAAAATATCAACGAAATCGAGAGAAATTTGAAAATGAAAATACCCCAGAATAAAAATCTAAATAATATTTCGCTCTAATTTGTTTATTTCGTTTCATTTCAGGCAGGAGTTGTGTCACTTTAGTGGGTATAAAATCCACCCTGGCCATGGCATTCGATTCGCAAGAGTCGATGGCAAGGTACGTTATTTCATGTGTACAGTTTTAAGAAAGAACGAGAGGCAAATGTTAATGCTTAAATGTGGCCGCTTATTAACTGTATTCCAGAGAACCACGCATTCGATGCCTAAAATCTAGCTCAACTACCTCTTGGATTTTGTTTGTCATTTGCGACTGTTACGTTATTATAAAATCGGTTCTTCTCTTAACTTAAGTAAAGTACTGCATAACTTGGTGTCGAAATTATATGCCTTTTGCCATTCCTTGGACATGTTGGACGGTGCTTGCAATTTTTTCATAGATTTTTTTAATGGAGATATTGAAAAAAGGGTGCGTTAGGGAAAGAATACTTATCCTGGCGCCACTTTGTTGGAAAGATTCCCATATCTGGCCATCAGTAATTTTCCCCTAGTTAAATGACCTATCATCAGCCTTCAGAAAGTGATAATTAATAATATGTCCTAAAAAAAGTCGAAATTAAGCAGGGACAAATTTTGAATTTTCACTGAGAAAACACTTTCAATTTTCAGACCAGTCCCATAGGGTTTGTGCACAGGGTGACAAGTGATGACCAGATATGGGAATCTGTCCACTTTGTTCTTCGTTTGTCATCTCATTAATTAAGGCCAATCATCGCTAAAAATATGTTGGAAAGACATGAATCTGGGACTTAGAAACATTTCCAATTTTGTAAGGAAATAGGCCTATTTCAAAAAAAATTCTTTACTCCCCATAGACTTTGTACACAACCGCTGAAGTGGCGCCTAGATACTACACTCTTTCCATTTACTGCCTTTTGAAAGTATTGGATGTATTCTATGACCTCTCAGCTTTGTCGCTTGGGGTTGATTATGTAAATTAACCTCAATTTGAGAGAAATTTAGGCATCTTTTGGGATCCCTTTATATACACGTACAATGGTTGCTGATGGCTGCCATGTTGAATGTGAGAACTTGATGATCCCAAAGCCGTAACGATGTGTTATGCGAAATCAATCTTCTGGCTTCAGAAGTTGCGATGCGACGGCTGTTTTTTTGTATAGCCTGGAATAACCGCTAGAATGTATTGTTTAGAATCATGCCTACCCGATTTTTTAGACGGACCCTGATTGACAATGTTAGCATTTGTAACGTTTTATCCCGTACCATAGGTCTTCAACTTTGTCAACAACAAGAGCCTGGCCTCCTTCATGATGAAGCGCAACCCGCGGAGGATCAACTGGACCGTCCTGTACCGCCGCAAGCACCGCAAGGGCACCCAGGAGGAGATGACCAAGAAGAGGACGCGACGCACCACCAAGTTCCACCGCGCCATCGTGGGCGTGACCCTGGAGCAGATCAACGCCAAGAGGAACCAGAAGCCCGAGGTCCGCAAGGCACAGCGAGAGCAGGCTATCAAGTACGTGCAAAGCCTTTGTAGAGGATTTAAGCAGTTTATGTCAGAAGTATTTCAAGTGTCGGTCGAGTGTGTCATGTCTGTTCTGAGCTGCTATTAGGCCAAATAAACAACAAATAGTTTCTCTTGGCTTTTTTAAAAAGGGCGGCCCCCTTTTTTTAATTTTAAAAGAGCCAACACCCTTTCTATCAAATTTTGAATATATATTCAAATATTGCATATTTATAGCTACACTTTAGCAAGAAATGAATGAAAAGACCCAATTTATTGCAAATGTATGATTACAAAATAGGAAAAAAGGTGGAAAAAAGGAAGCGGCAGAGACGAGAGACTGGTTTATTTTGTTTACTTGGCCTTAGCTCAGTTTGGCTGGGGTTTTTGCTGTTTTTTTCATTTGACGTTGGTGAAGGTAAGAATCCTTGCTAAAAAAACAGTCTCATTAAGATATTCTCCTCATACCATCACCGTTCAAGTTATCTACTGCCCTCTTTTGTCAGAAATGAATGCCTGGCCAGTTGATCTGGTTTTCGACTGGAAAAAATCAATGCGTGGCTGGTAGGTTAGCCACATCTGTTCTGTTTTCATTGAAAGATCTTTTATTTTTCTATGGATCTGATTCTGATGGAATTGTCTTCTTTTTTTTGTACAGAGCTGCAAAGGAGAAGGCAAAGGCATCCAAGGCTGCCTCCAAGAAAGCCGCCCCAGCCAAGGTAATCAAATGATCCACCTACTATTTACTGGAGACCTTACCCCTAACATTCCCAAATCTTCCAAAATCTTCTTTGCAAAATGGGGACGTTTGCAGCATTGAGGTTGTATGGCAGAAATGTGTGGCTGATTTCGGAGGATGCTGTGGTGTAATGTCCCGTTTCAATATATTTCTGGGTAGTTACGGGTAGACTCATTCACTCTTTCTGGAAGAAGCTCTGTATTTGTTTCGGGGAAATTTTCACTAGCAGCTTCTTGACCCACCAATACTGATAACTTCATTGCGGGAAGATTGCAGGGAAGTTGTTCAGAATCCTGCAGCTGATACCCGATACAATGTCTGCAACTTGTTCGGAACTCGTCCCGGATCGAGACGGGCCCTGAATTACATAGACTGTACCATTTGGTTGTTGCACAGCACAGCTTGTAGGGTAATTCAGAAAGGTTCTCAGAGGTAAAATGCTGAGGGAGTTTTGAAGTTTAAAGGCATGTAGGATCTTTTGCATTCATCCAATAAGTAAACTATCGAATTATCCAAAAAGTTACTTGGATTAAAGATCGTATTAAGTACTAAACATTCTGTGAAATTGTTCCGTCTGGCTTGCTGGCATTGGAAGAAATCAAGAAATGTGGGTGATTTCCAACGATCAGTCAGTTGAGGGATTTTTGGAAATAAAGAGTGCTATTGAAGAAATCATGTTTCATGATAAAAAAAAAGTGCACGGTTTTTCACTGTTTTCTCAAAAAGTGTAATATCCACTGAGCTGAAAGTTTCAACAGGTTAGGTTTTGAACATTCTTTCTTTGGACTGTGAGTGGTGTTATTATTGGAAAAGAGCAAAATGCATGAAAAGCAAAAGATCCTATATGCCTTTTTAGAGAAAAGAATGAATGTAGTATCCGTACGTCACTTAATTCATTTTGTATAAATTCTATGTAGAGTCAAAAAAGTATTTCTTAACAAAATTGGAAAAATGTTTTGTCAGTCCCAGATTCATGTCCATTCAACGACTGACCTTTATTGAGATGATATGTGAAGAAAAAAGTGGCGTCAGATTTTAACATTCTTTCCTTTTTAGATATTGAATGCCAATTTCATGCGCTTTTTTTATTTCCTCTTCTTTCCCAATGCAGGCTCAGGCCAAGCCCGTGAAGCAGAAGGCCGCCCCTAACCCCAAGACCAAGGCTCCCCGAGTCACGGGCAAGAGATAAAGCCATTCTACCCGTTCACAATCACATTTAGAAATAAACAAGAACCTAAATTATATCTCCAGATGTTCACATTTCCTCGGTTATCTCTCCAGATGTTCAGTTCATACTCTTTGAGAGTGTACAGATCTCAATAAATCATGATCAGTTTTTAGCCTGAAACGGACTTGAAAGGATGTCGGTTGTCTTACTTCTTGTCTCAATATGGTAGCAGTGTGAGGGATAATATAATGTACAGGCCTTGAATTTTGTTCTTGAATGCAAATACCGCCCTCTACCGGTCACGCGCACACAGTATACCCATGCAGAATTAACTGACGTACCCATTGAACTCTTATTGACTGTTTTTAAGAGGCGTCTTTATTCAAACAATGGTGATAAGCAAGATGTCAGTTCATCAACATTTAATACCCAACATGCACATTTTATACCCGAGAAGTGCAAATACAGTCGAGTCTCGTTAATACAAACTCGTTCGGACCTAGCCAAATTGTTTGTTATATCAGAATTTTGTATTAAGAGGAACATCAGTCACATCCATTGTGTACATACATGCACAGTCGGGACCAAGGCTTTATGTTTGTTATAACCAGAATTTTGTATTAACAAAGTTTGTATTAACGAGACTCGACTGTAATCGCACGCCTGAATCCCTCTGTACTGCACATCTCGGCACACATTTGCGTCATAAGTATACTTAAGTGAGCTCTTGAAATGGCTTTACTGTAAACCAAGATGAAGTGTATAAAAAAAAACGACCAGATTGTTCAGTCCCAGTTTGGACCACAGAATCACACACCTAGAAAAATCACATGCCCAGAAAAATCCAGAAGAGCCTTTTTGCACACGCCTGTGATTTTCAAATCAGGAGTGCAATATTGTCACAGCTGACTTGAGAAAACAAAATACAAGTATCTGAACACTTTCCCAATATACAAGTACATGAAGTTATATTTGATGCATGTTACGTGTACGTGCGCACAATTTGTCAATTTTTTTTTCCACAAACATGTACATTGCCTTTTTAAATACATACACAAAGTTGACCAAGCTTATTTTTATTTTAGACAGTTAAGACGAGTTGTGCAACTTGATAGTTCTTAGAGACATTTTTTTCGTAAATAATATTTTTAAAAAAAGCTCTCATTTTTTTTTTATTGCATTTATACAATATGTACATGGTGCAAGTGCCAACTAGGACTTACACAAATGGTGGGATTATTTATTTGAATTATAAAAAATATACAAATCGAAATAAGCAAACAAACAGTATCCCCAGATTCCCTGAAATTTGAAAGACAATTAAGTACGTGCAGTTCAGACCTCTGTGCACAAGTTGCCCCTCGAAAAAAAACATATAATGGCCACGCAAGTGTAAAAGACGGATCCGATGAGCCCAACATCATGACTTACTGTGGGTTGTATGACTTGTTCATGCTTACACTGGATTGCACTAGTGCGCATATTATGGGTATCCTACCTAAAGTGGTACCCACTTACCCCTAAAAAGAAACTCAACCCCACAAATCAAATCCCAGATGTTCTCTGTTATAGGTTTACTGGGTAACGGGGTAAACTGCAACTTTGGCAAGTATAATCTATCGCACGTTAACCACTTTGAGGCGGAGGCCGTGTATACATTGTACACGCAAAGGTTTTCCGAAAGTCAGATTGGATGACTGAAAAACCCGCAACAACAGAGGCTTGAAAATATCTGTCGGCGAACCACAGCCACCGACCGAGGCCAGATATATGACACTGAAGCCCCAGGGTGATGGCTTCAACCCGCCTGGCATTGCAGTCGAGTGAATATTAAACCTGTGCCTCGGTCCGTTCTTGCCAAAATTAACCCAAACTCAACTGGTTAAAATGCAAATTTACATGAAATTTGTTTTTGAATTGGTTTAATTTTTTTCACGTAGCCAGGTTTTCATTTTGAAAATTCCCCACAAATAGCTTTAAAATCTTTCTTTTTAATTGTCTGAGAAATGATAAAGTAATTTGCAAAGTTGGTTACGGGTACCCGATCCCATAATCTGGAACCGGTTTCCAACATCAGTGGTCGGGTACCCGGTTCCGATGCACACCCGTAGGTTGTACACGGGTTAGCTGTAGATTTTGGAGTTTCTACCCAGATAGAGCGCTGGACCCAACACAGATTTTGGACATCATGTGAAAAGACCTCCACACTGCCTACAATATCTGTGTTGGACCCGGGTCCAACAAGGCTTCTTGGTTCTTGGTTGGTTCTTCTCCTAAATACTCCACGTGGGAGTTTATACAGGAGGCCAGAAACACCGGGGCAAACCCTTTCTCTTAGCGATAAGTGTTTACTGGGTTCTTTTACGTGCATTTATACAACACACGGGACCTACGGCTTAACGTCCCATCCGAAGGACGAAGCAATAATGGTTAAGTGCCTTGCTTAAGAGCACAAGTGTCCGCCGGCAAGCTCGAACCCACGTCACTGTTGCCTCTGAAACACCAGAACGTGAGTCCGGTGTTCTTAACCGCTAGGCCATCACACTCTACACAGGTCCTGTGCTCTTCACGGTAAAATCCAACTCTGGTCAGGACCAGCATTGAGAGGTTCTTCCTGGGTAGAAAATCTTTACAAAATCTGCAGCTGACACTTGGACACACCCTTGTAAGTGTGAACAGTATGTCGTGTTTGATGGGACCCGGTTGATATCAATGAGCTCCATGCGCCAACAAGAGGTGGCGCTTTATTACCAACTTCGAGAGCCCCGTGGTAAAGTTATTAAACTAAATTTATTCTGAATGTGCACAAAGCAGCAGCATCTTCGCGTGAGCGTTGGGCATCTTTGGCAATGCACTTGAATCTCTCTCTAGCTAGTCTCACCCAACTCTCCTTCCATGCCGTTGAGGTGCTTGCGAACGGAGCAGGTAGGGGAGGGGAGGGGAGACGAGTGTGAAAAGGCCTAAAGGTTGCATGAGCTCTTCTCCATGTGCACTGCGGTTTATCCCTATAAGCCATTATGTGTTTGCCAGATCGTACCACCAACTGTTGTTTTACTACTTGCTGGCTTACTTAAGATATGCCGACGATTTCGTATTTATCCCAAAATCCAGGATACATCCAACAGACTCTGTTGTGAAATGAATTTGTTAATTGACACTTTTAGGCATCTGCTGAAATAAATGAACCAAAAATAGTGAAAACATTATCACAAAAAGAGCTAAAATTATCTTCTTCTTTTTTTCAAATTCAATTTGTGCTATTAGTGAATCTTCCTTCCAGGGACGGCCTGCTGACAGTCAGTTTACCAGCAATGTCATTTGCAGATCCAAAGTCGCAAACAAAAAGCATGGTTGAAACAAAAGACCTCTTTCACCTTAAGCCTTTAATAATAATTGACGGCCATTCGGCTATAGTCAACTGGACTCGTCCCCGCAAACATTCGCCGACTCGTTCTCATTTAACGCGGGATTGACAAGCAGCACAATGACGGACATGGTGACCGTGAAGCAGGCATAGATGTAGAAGAGTAGTCGGTCAGTCACAGTGGCCACAAGCGCCCACTCCTTATGCACCCGGCTGGTCCCGTCCTTCTTCCGTTGGACTGTCCGAACATGCCGCAGGATCCCATGAACGTTGGATTCCAGTTTTGTCAGCCGCATGTCGTCCGCATCTCCTAGGTGATCGACAAAGTGGTCCAGCTCTGCCTGGGGGTTGCCGTGCCCATTGCCGTGGTGACCGGCCGTGATGCTGTCGTTGCTGTTGCGTTGAGTCTCGGAGATGAGGGGCGAGTATGATGTGGCATACCTAGCAACAGAATGTCAGAATTGATTCAGTTATTTTGGACAAGTCAGTAAGCACCTTCTACTCCCCTCATTAAACCATCTGTTTCCTCTGGATTTGGTTCCCCGATCGAACAAACCCCTGCCCATCATGTTGGTGGAACCATGAAACACCATTTGTGCCTGTTGCCTCAGTCGTATTCAATGCCGTCTACCTGTCTTAACTATGCACCCAATACCAAACCCATCTCACCCCCTCAAAAAAGTAGAACTAGACCAACCCTTGGCTCCTCTCATTCACCTCATCAAACTACCTCTCTGAATCAAGTTCCTTGTCTCAATTTATCCATCCAACGCCCTTATGATGGTTTACCAAAATCACCTACCTTGAGTCTTCCACTTGTGTCTCTGGATTACATTCCATATCCCAGCCCAGAGCTGCCCTTGATGATAGTAGACCCGACCATCAGTATCTTCATCTTCCTACACTCATGAATCCATCCCCGTTTCCTATCTGCCTCGCACTCGGCATTAAACCACCTCTGCTTCACTCTCAATTGTGTACATGTATCCCTTTTTACCCATCCCATCCCATCCTTACCCATCCAATGCCTTCTGGCTATCTGAACTGCGTACCCGATCCAAACCCATGCCTGCCTCTCATTGAACCAAGTGAACCCTCCAGTGCCTCTCACTTATCACAATGCCTTCTGCTCATCTGAACTGTGTACCCAATCCAACCCTATCCCTTCACCTTTATAGAACCAAGCGACACCCTCGGTGCCTCGCACCTGGCATGTAACCACCTCTGCTTCCACTCTGGATTGTGTGTCCCATCCTTGCCCATCCAATGCTTACCCATTCCACACCTTCTGCCTCTGAACTGTGTTCCCAATCAAACCCATCCCTCTACCCCTCACAACCAGAAGACACCTAGTGCTTCCGCCTCATCTCACGTTAAACCAGCTCTGCTTCTTCTCTTGAAAGTGTATCCCATCCTCGTCCATCCAATCCTTACCTACCCCATGCCTTCTGCCACTCAACTGTTTACCTCAAACCCATGCCCTGCCCATCACTCAAAAAGACACTTTGGTGTTCCCCACTCACCTCGCATTAAACCACCTCTGCTTCCTCAGCATGGCCAGCCGTGCCTGGTCCAGCTTGGGGTCGCTGCGACGATGTTGCAGATACTCCCCTTTGCAATCCATGCACATGATCTTTGCCATGTACTTAAGCACCAGCGTCCGTAGCCATCCGGGCACCTCCCTTGTGCCGTCCTCCCCTCGGTGGAAGATGTTGAGCACACAGATGTTCATCGCCGTGGAGATGGCGATCAGGAACATGATGATGAGGTAATATTCACCTTTGTAGGGGAAAAGACATTTTTTTATTAGGGCTGAATTAAACAGATCGGAAAGAGCAGACAGTCCAAAACATTGAGTTTCTCCTGTTTGCCTGGTTCTTTTCAGAACTTCAAAGCTCACAAAAGAAATTTGTCACGCTGCAACAGCAGACTTTTCGATAATGCTCACTTCACCATGCAAACCTTCAAATCTTATGGGAAGGTATGATTTTTGGTTTGCATGATGAAACATAGTTCCGGAGTCTCTGGCTCAATAATGTCAAAAATGTATCTTGAGACGCGAGAGCTTTTGAAAAGAATTGGTTCAACTGAACATTTCAATCATCATGCTGTGTTTGTCTTCAAGAGAGTTTAAACTTTTCCTACATCTACTCAAAAGGATGTACATGTGCACTTATCTTGTGTATCCAGGTTGCAGCATCTGGAAGTGTGTTACCTGAGTTGGGGCCACTTACTTGTGGAATACTCAAGACGCTCCAGAGGCAGATCCAGGTTGATAGAAATGCAGGCAGACATTCGAAAATGACGAATGCTGCTCTCCGTTTTTATTATCCACCTGATTTTTTTTATTAAACTGGATCGGCCTCTGTGTTCCATCTTTAATGAGAAACCTGTTTGGACTCTTCAGCCCAAAAGCCCTATCAGCCCCCTTACTGATAAGCGGAAGTCCTTCTGATGTCTTGGGTATCGTCTCGGCCACCAGCAGGAGGAAGACAGTCATGGACAGGATGAGGGTGATGCTAAGGTTAGCCTTGACCACCCCAACGTTATAAGGCATTAGGAACCCCACCATAGACAGGGCAGACAGGAGCACGATCGGCATCACCAGCTTGTACATGTAGTAGAGGGGCTTCCGCCGCGCTCCTACGAACAGCGTCACATCCACATACTTCACCGGGCAACACACGTAACTCTCCAAGTTCCGCTTGAAGCACGCATATGGCATTTCCCACTGCTCATTCTCCAGATATAGTCCCTTGTCCGGGCCGGCTGTGGAATTGAAGAGGTCCACCAGGTACCAGTCGTAGGTCCAGAGCCCGAACTTGAGCTTGCAGCTCTGCTCGTCGAAGGGGAAGTAGCGGATATTGATTGCGCAGGTGCTGCGCTGGATGTAAGGCTTGGTTTCCATTTGGACCAGCCCATCGTGTCTCACCACAACATTTGTGCCTGTGATGCCGGCGTAGGCCGAGTTTGTGTCCGCTCTAAGACAGCAAAAGAAGGCGGAATCAAATAGTTTATAGGTCGATTGTTTTGAATGTATTCAGTTACAAGAGGATGATTGTTCTCAGCAGCAAGCTGAGAGAAGACAATCAGTCAGAAGTTCTCAGCGATCAAAGTGTAATGATTTCTCAGGATTAGGCAATAACTAAGTTTATACTGTAGTCACCTTCTAGAGATCATTATTTAAACCATCCTACTGAGCTTGGTTGCATTGCTGACTGCCCAACTTAAATGTACTTAAAATATTGCGTCAATGTCAAGCAGGCTGAAACAAAAAATCTTACGTGTTATACAAAGTGGTGTCAGGGAGCCAGACATCATAGGCCGGCACTCTTAGCTCCTCTAGTCCCCCATATTCTTTGGGATCCCACTGTAGCCAGATGTCCTTCCAGCTCTGCTTGACAATGATATTCAGCTTCAAAATCTGGTTCCTCTCATCCTTGGTGTAACAGATACGGATAAGGAGAAATCAGTAGGCTAAGCCCGATAGTTAAGGTGCAGAAAGCCAATAAGAACTGGTTTGTGTTGTCTTGTTTGGCCCGGTTTGGTCCAGTGTGATCTGGTCTGGTAACGTGTGTTCTGATGAGGTCAGGGTGGTCGTCTGATCAAGTTTGTGTTAGTCTGATTCGATCTTGTCTTGTCTGGTCTGACCTGGTCCGGTCTGGTTTGGTCTGGTCTAGTCTGTTAATTCAGTCCGGTCGGTTCCTGGCAGTTCTGAATTGGCCTTTAATATTTGGTTTGTGCTAGTCTGGTGTGGTCTGATTTAAACTAGTCGGGTCTGGTTTTGTCTGGTCAGGTATGGGCTAGTCTGGAATGCGATGGTACGGCTTTCCATCTTCGGTATTGAGAGGATGCTCTGTTGACTGCAGAATGGCTCAGAGAACGCTTGTGATTGCACGATATGGTGAGGTACATGTACAGTCTGGTGTGGGCAATGTATTGTCTGGTCTAGTGTTATTGTGTCTGGTCTAGATTGATATGCCTTACACCTGGATTGGTCTGCGCTATAGTTGGTGTCATCCGGTTTGCTCCGGTCTGTTCTAGTCTGACCTGGTTTGGTATATGAGGTACGATTAATGTAGCTATACGTGTGCTGTGAGCTTACAATGTCAACTATCTGTTTTATCTTTAAGGTGAAGTAGACAAGCAGTTGGTCGGAATGGTTCTTCAGAGGTCTCAGGTTGTTATTGTAGAGTGGCTTTTTCAGGAACAGGTCTTCATAGAGTTTCTGTTCATCTCCAGGGAATGGCTTGCCACCTGCAGAGAGAATTAAAGAGAGAGAGAGAGAAAGAGAAAATAAACTAGAGTTTCACCGATGTAAAAGGTCACTACATCATCTAAAGCAAACGATAGTCCACGGGGAGCAATTGAGAAGCTTCAGCTTGTTTTCACAAAGAAAAATGCAGCCCTATTTTGATCGAAAAACTGGTTTTGGTATTAAAGTAATGTGACCCAGAACGCTCACTTCATTGATTGATGAAGTTTACGATGGTCTAAATGGTGTGATTAAGCCCCTGTATATGTCTTTCATGTTATGTGTCGTTACAACAAATTAAAGCATACAAATTGAAAATTCGCTGGGTGAAAAAAAAAAAAAATTAAGAGCAACGGGTATGCAACTTTAAGCAGAAGTAGCACTCCATTTTTCTCCATCATTTTCTCCGTAGTTGATCTTTGGTTGAAGATGAGGTTGCTTTTTGCCTCTTCCGGTTAAGGACCCTACAAGTTGCTGCATCATTTATAAAATGTTATCCCTTCTCTGACTGCCGGAGTTGTACCCTTTTTTTCTCTCTAGACTCTGAGGCACATCGAACGCATGAAGTGTTATGATCTGCCAGGCACGTCAATTCCGGATATCGCATTAGGCGTGTCTGGTCGTGTACTGAATCAACTCCATTGGATTAAGAGCGGCCATTACCGCGCAATTTGGCCCTGACTGGCCCTAATAGGATAATAGGGCCTAATGAGCGGCGCGTTCTCGTCGGCATGCATGTTTTACCTCCGTATACTAGAGGGCAATTTACGGTAATGGGCATAATGAAGGCCTTTTTATGGAGTTAATGACGGTTTAGTTAGGACATGATTGTCTGCATGTGCATTTAGGCCCGGGTGTTCCTTGGACTATCCGTCAACTTGGGACTCAGAAATGACCGGATGATGTACTGAATAACATCGTCCTGTAGGTCCTACTTGAATATATTTGAGTAGGCCTACAGTAAAACTCATGTGCCTGGAATTGGCACGGGTGCAGGGTTTGGGCTCCATAGGTCCAGGCTATACAGGGTGCCCCCCCCCCCCCTCCCAAAGGGACGGCGTACTTCCACTACCTTGAGACTTAAACTACCTGTACCAATGGATGGAAAATCTTTTTAGAAGAATGTATGATACCAAGATTCAGTCCAGTAGTTTTTGCTGCAGAGCCTATTTTGTGAAGCACACATCTTTATGATGTGGGTTAATCCCTCTATCGAAGTAAGTCAGATTCGCAACCTTGGTTTAGTAATTCATCAGGACAAAATGACTCCCTACCTAGTTCCACAAAATAGGCTCTAGAACAAAAACTATAATGGACTGCATTGGACGATCTTGTATCATTTTTCATGTTTTGGTAACAGAATTCCCCATGCATTGGTATAGTTTTTTTTGGGGGGGGGGGGGGCGACCCTGTATAAGGTGGTGCAAACCCGTGGCTATTATGACATAAATTTAGAATTAGGGACACCAATTAATGTACATGCATGCACACGAGCGGATTTTTTGTCAGAGTTGAACCAGGGTTTGACTTTCCTTCTGAATCAATTCCGATACAATATTTAATTTGGCTCCACTGCAAAATGCAGCTTCTGTCTTATGAACACAAGATTGTCCCAGCACCCTTTAAAGGGCCATATATCACAGGAATATTTTCTTAGGAACATATTTTGTACAACTTTCTAATCCTCTTATATGTATGAAAACTACTTGCCATCCCTTTTTGGATAATCTTATTGAAAAGTGCACTTCTTCAATTTCTTTTTAATTCCATTTTTCGGACGGAGAGTGCGCTGTTGCCGTGATGTCATTTCAGGAAGACACACTGTTCAGTTTAGGGGATTTCTGTTCAAATTGTAAACCCAAAAATGTCTCATGGAAAACATTTGTGAGAAGAAGCTCATTGGCTTATTGCCATGTACTGACAAAACAACGAATCACCAAAGAAAAGAAAATGCAACATATAAAAATACACAATTCTGGCATCTTTTAGTGCTGAAATAGATGTAACATTGTGGTTTCTGCCTGAAATGACTTCCCACTTTTGCTCATGATTATGTAAATTTGCATCAGTATAACAACCAAAACTGGTTAAAACACCCTTGAAAACGGCAAAACAAAAATTGAAAATAAGGTTAAATAGGACACAAAAAGTGTGTTTTCAAGGACTGCATTAAAAAAAATACATTGCATGAGCTCTTTAACCCGTGTTTCATTTTCTTTTCTTTTCAAACATTGATGGAGAGAGAAGTCTCTCGTCTCTCAAAGGGCAAAGTTTTTCTCCACACACATCCCTGTCCCAGTTGGGCCCTCCTCAGTACCGAATTGCAGACAGCGAAGGAGCCGGAGCCCCATGCATATTTCAGCTTCGACACCTTTCCCAGGTGTGGCGAGCAGTAATGCAACGACAGACGCCGAGAGAGAGCCCAACTAGTTATCAATAATACATCAGATCCTGGCGCCCGTGATCTAATGGCGAGACTTTTAATATCATAATACACCTGCTCTCGCACGTATCTCCCTCACCCCAACCAGCCCCCCCCCCCCCAAAGGCTTGCAGTAGATTTTAAAAAACAAACCGTGATCGGCACAATTCTTAGGCATTGTGACTCCTCATGACCTTTAATTTGAAATTGTGTCCTTATACGATCGGGTGTTGAGTTTGTTCCTTTATTGACGTGATCACTTTTTTTTTATAGAAGGAAACTTTAGTAAGGCTATATGGGATTGAGAAGCGGGCAATAATGTTCTATATCCTCGGTACTCGTTGGTGAAATAGTTCTTAATAAACACACCTTCAGTTACTGCGACAGTAAGCAGTCTGCCACGGATGGGCAGATCTATTATGTTCGGCATGCAATTCTTAATGTCCTTTGTAAAATAACATACATTTATAACTTTTGTAAATCTAACTTGTCATTCGTTTTGCACGGATTTGTACCTATTAAAGAATACAGCCATAGAACATAGTAAAACGAAATACCTTAGTATCTCTCTTGTGCGTATATCCCACTTTGTTTTCATATACAACAAAAATTTAGATGTGCTAGCAAGATATCCCTTTAAACAGTTTCCATTTGACTTCTGAAAACCTGGAACCAACTACAGCATCGCCCGTCTTCAGCAAGAACTGTCTGATCAGAGGGAGAGATGCATTTTAGTTCTGAAATGGAACTTAAGTATATGGCTCTTTGAGATACGAGAATCACCTTTATTCAATTGGACATTCCAACGCAGGCTCCGGTCACTATTTCAATGTTAAATATTAACAATCTGATTTCGGTGAGAGGTGCATTTGGTAAAATAATCTGGAAACGAATATGGCTTTCAGAGATACGAAATTCATTTTTCGTTACTTACCATTTGATATACCAACGCTCCGGTCATATTTCAAATTTGTTAAAATTTGAACGATCTGATTTCAGTAAGAGGTAGGGCCTACATTTGGTAAAATAAAATGGAAACTTATATGACTCGCAGATATACGAGATTCCTTACTATATATAGGTACTGACTGTTAGATATAGCCTACCAACAGTAAGGATGCACTTGGTTAAATATAATGGAAATTATATGGCTCACAGGTGTACAAGATTTCTTAGTAATTACTGACTGTAGCGCTCCGGTCACTATTTCAATGTTAACTTTTAACAATCTGATTTGAGTGAAAGGTGCATTTGGTACAATAAAATGGAATCTTATGTGGCTCGCAGAGATACGAAATCATTATTAATTACTGACTGTTAGATATACCAACGCTCCGGTCACTATTTCAATGTTAAATGTTAACGATCTGATTTCAATGAGATGTGCATTTTGTAAAATGAAATGGAAACGTATATGGCTGTCAGAGATACGGGATTCCTTACTAATTACTGACTGTTCTATACCAGCACTCCGGTCACTATTTCAATGTTAAATGTTAACAATCTGATTTCAGTGAGAGGTGCATTTGGTATAATAAAATGGAAAATTATATGGCCCGCAGAGATACAACATTCATTATTAGTTACTGTTAGATATACCAACGCTCCGGTCACTATTTTGTAAAATAAAATGGAAACCTCATATGGCTCGCAAATGTGCGAGGTTCCTTACTGACTGTTCTATACCAGCACTCCGGTCACTATTTCAAATTTGTTTAACGTTAACGATCTGATTTCAGTGAGAGGTGCATTTGGTAAAATGAAATGGAACCCTATATGGCTCACAAATATACGAGATTCCTTACTATAGTTGCTGACTGTATCAGCACTCCGGTCACTATTTCAATGTTAACTTTTAATGATCTGATTTCATCAGTGAGAGGTGCATTTGATATAATGACAAAGTCTTTGGCCAGCTCGGTGAAATTCGAGACTTACACTAAAAGTTATTTGTTGTTTGACGAAGCACTATGGACATACCGACGCTCAGTCACTAATGCCTGATCGAAATCATGATTTATACGATTGGACAGAGTAATGGGTCTCGCTGACAATGCATTATTCCCGTTATCATCACCTCTAAGTGCTATAAATCAACGGTGATAAAACTGCAGAGTGTTGTATATCATACTTGAAACGTGATATACAAGAGATATTAGAGAGATCTCATGGTGTGATATTCTGGCAATGTATGTTGCAGTCATGCATTAAGTAGGTACCAACTCATGTGTTCCGTAGATATCCTAATATTAATTTTACTTCACATTTGCAGAGATGTTTAGTAGAGATCTGATAGATCGTTATTCAGAGAATATCAAATATTTGATTTTTGATGAAAAACACCGATTATTATATTATGATAATGTATATTGTAACCAAGCATAACATGCAAATTATCCCATTCGTATTCCGTAAGTATCGAGTCTAAATTAGTATAATTTTTCTTTTTCTTCGCGGTTTGCAGAGATGTTTAGTAGAGATGTGCTACTTGGCTATTCAGGGAGTAGAGAGATTTGATAAATATAGATTATCCAGTTCGTATTTCAAAAAATAGAGGGCCTAACGTTTCCATCCTATATA